GCACACAGTGGATCCCTGAGGTAAGAGTTCGCAAATCAAGGGAGGAAAGGAAGAGAGAGCTCTCGCACAGCCCTACCTCCCAATTAGCACACCTCTTTCAGAGGTCTGGGAGAACTCTCTGCTTAAGCAAGTTTTTACAGCAGGAAAATCTCACCGGTATTAAACAAATTAAGGCAAGAAAGTAAAGGTCAAGAAGATCATGGAAGACTCCGTTTTGGTTCCCTGTAGGTAACACCACACATTTGCTTTTTCTAATAATAGCAGTCTAGATGCTCTTTAAGAAAAGTCCCTTAGCAATGAAACGTGCCGTGTCACCTACAGAGACCGAGGGCTCACTTTTCTCTCCTGTCACTTCTGGCAGCCTAACCCTCACGTATTTATGGGACCCCTCTTCTCTGCGAATCCAGCACCCGCCCCACAGACCTGCGCCACGTGGATGTTTGGGAAGCACGTCTCAGCTGCTCTTTGGGGTACCTGGCAGCCAAGTGATGCACTGAGGACCCCAGCCCTTCCAAAGCAAACAATCCTGCCCGGGAGGCTCAGCTCCAGCAGTTGCAGCAGCTGCTCATTCATGCTTTAAAGTGCTCAAGGTCCACCTACAGTCAGTGCTAAGGAGCACGTTTCAGCCAGATGTACAGAAACTAGGACCAGTGACAGCCACTGTGCTGAAGCCCACATGAGTGTTCTCGGAGGGCAGGAACTACATGCTTAGCTATTACGCTTCAAGAGTTGAGAGGTGGGCAATCACTACACCCCTGATAATGCAGTGTCTCCAGGCACAAGAATACCTCTGATGTGCAGCACAGAAATCCTGTAAAGCATGGGATTTGGGTAACACCATCAAGGTGGCTTTCATCTCCCTCGGTGAAACCAGCCTTCAGTGCAACTGTCACAATTAGATATTTAAGAAAAAAATTTTCCTTCTGTGGCCCTAATAACCCGTAGAAAACAGACAAAGTACCTTTGAAACAACTAATGCAGGTTCAGAAAGCTACTACAAGAATTCAAAACTGGGGCACGTCGCTAGTAAACAATATACAGGCACCCACACCTTACTGACTAAAGCTGTAAGATATTTGAAGCTGTAATTAATTGTTCAGTGATCACTGTTTCTCACAGGACCATACTTTCAATGATGCCATCTAGCACAAGCTGCTTACAGACCACACCTAAGGAAATTAAACTCCTCAAAAAAAAAAAAAGAGAAAAGAAAAAGGCTGATTGCACAGTTTACCCTCTCAAATTATTCCTTCATAGTTTAGGTAACTACAGTACTTCATGTACCAAATTAGAGGTTGGCAAGAACAAGTGTTACTCAGGTAGCCTTAAAAGAGCTACCTTGAGTTTACACAGTATGTTAAAGATGGAGAGACACTTCTGAGTCACTGGTTTCCAGCTCTACAGGCCATTAGCCGAAACCAGAAAGAGAATGAGGTTCTGACAACCTGAATATGAATCACTGTGTTTCTCATTCTGCGAGGCAGTTCCCTTCTTTGTTGGCTGAGTCAAGAGAGAGGAAGTTGCTGCTTGTGATCTTGGAAGATTCACATAGAAAAACCCCCACGCCCCCCCAACACAACATAGCTGCACGAAGTACTTTGCACTTTATCTCATCAGATGCCCAAGGTAACTCCAAGTGCTTCACAGGCAGTCGGCCAGACACTTGTATAGCAACTGTTGAATATTCAGCAACAGTTTGCTCTATAGAAGCACCTGCTGCCCAAAGATCCAAGGCCACTTCACAGAAACTAATGAATTCCCGTCCTCGAAAGAGGCAATTGTGTGGCTGCATTGAAGCCCGATGAGTGAGCACAGCCTGCCTTTGCACAGCCACCCCAAACAGAACCAGGAGCCAGAAGACGGCAATTCCCATGGATTCCTTCTGATCCTTGTGGGGCAGGGAAATGGCGTCAGCATTAGGTGGGTATGGGAACACAGCTCTGCCTTGCCCTGCAGTGACCTGGCTGGGCTTTCCCAGGTTGGAAGCAATCCCTAAAATATGCAAATAAAGCAGCTGAAAGCCAGCAGCTTGGCTGACAGACAGGCTACATGACATGCCTGCATCAATACATTCATGCTGGAGAGCGAGCCTAGTTAAAATTTGCTCCCATCACAGCCGAATCACCAGTACCCCTGACATCTAGGCAGCTTCCCAGTATTCCAGAGGATATAGCATCCAAGTCTCCTACCACTAAGCAATGTAATTAGCAAGAGCTGGAACCATCACACACGACCAGAAATGAGAAATGCCACAAGCACGTCAGCCATGGCACTTCCCTCACCAGGATCATGTCCCTGATCTGCACCCATCCGACAAGCTGATGTGCTAGCTGTGGGACAGATGCACGCCCGAGTTCCCGCACCCACCCCACCCACAAGTGCAGGAAAAGTCACCTCACCACAACTGGAAGAGATGCCACGAGGCTTGGCGGTCTCAGCTGAAATGTTACTGTTGCACACCCGTCACAGAGAAAATCAAGGTGCTCTTATCTTTGTTTAAGCAGCCACTGCTTTGGAAGGCAAGTATTCTCTTAATTACTGGGTGACAAAGCAGGGCGTGAAACATTTCTCACCAATGTGCTTCAGAAACATGCCACTCCTCTACAAATGTTTGCATATTTACACCAAGTGGGCTATGACCTTTTTGAAAGCACAGATTCTCCCCCAGCACAGTTCCTTTCCTTTTCACTTGTCAGGCAGAGGTGGGGAGATGCCGATCTACCCTTTCATCTGGCTGCGAGCAGGAGAAACTACGTAAGAGGAAAACGCAGAAGCACGAAGTGAGACCACACTTCTGCATCTGTGACCATGAGGAAGCTGAGCGAGTGACTGCTGGCTCTCACCCACGGAGCCACGGCTGAGCACAAGGCAGAGCAGGGACCGCCACGCACTGCGACGTGGCCTGCAGGTAGGGTGAGGGGGGAAGGTCGCAGTCACAGAAACCGCTTCCATCTCCTGCTGCAGCATGGGAGAACACCCAGGCTCCCCACATAGCTGGGAGTTTAAAATCTCTCTGAGTTCAAGATCAGTGTGCTGAGCATGGCTATTTTACTAAGCTGTTCAAATAACTGTCAGCCCTGAAATAGCTTAAGTTTGTCCAATGCAACAGCTTCCTCTGACTGTGTAGTTATTCAAACCTAATATTTGAAACTCAGTTTAAGGCGAAGCTTCACACACTGCTGCTGT